CTTGCAACATCAGATGGCATGAGAAACTCCCCAACACCTAGGTTCTAGCAAAAGTACTGCCCACCTGGCATTGTGAACTTGCTCACCAGAGCACTGATTCACTTTTCAGGCCACATGGTTCACATGGAGGATTCCTCGTTGCTCAAAACAGTACTCAACCTGCATCTAAGAAAGTTGGAATCTTCAAATTTAAAGCTAGCTTGCAAGGTGGATCCCAGCACGTGGGGAAAACACAATCTTGGACAGACTTGATTGGAGAAATCTCCATCAAGTGATGTTAACATTTGAGGAGAAGAGAGTCAAGTGTCATTAGAAGCATTAAAGCCAATACCTTACCCATTCACTCACCACTGACTTCACATGCAGTATTTACAATCACTGAAAGAAATTAAGACTTGGCCTCATGTCACACATGAGTTGGCTTGACCCTGGACTACAGTCTGAACACTAAGCGACCAGAGTGCCAGGAGAATCTATCGTCAGGAAGGTGAGTGTCACTCCAGGATATTGCTGTTATATCATCATTGACAGTGTGAGGTTGGAGATTGTCGTTAACTTCATATATCGGGGCTGCACAAACACCAGCAATCTGCTACTTGGTCCTGGAGCCTGCACACACATCACAAAAGCTGCAGCTGTTATGTTTGAGCTGAGGAGGAAAGTGTAAAACTACAGCAAACTGAGAACTCCAAACCATGAATCTACCACACCTGCATCCTCTATGCAGTCCTCGACAATAATGAGACCCAGGCAACATAGTTCGAGAAGGAGAAAACACTGACTCTTGACCTCAGATCGACTGCAGGACATTCTGAAGGGGGAGGGTGAACAGCCAGCTGTCGTGGTGCATATAGGCACCAATGATATAGGTAAAAAAAACAGGATGAGGTCCTACAAGCAGAATTTAGGGAGTTAGGAGCCAAGTTAAAAAGTAGGACCTCAGAGGTAGTAATCTCAGGATTTCTACCAGTGCCACGTGCTAGTCAGAGTAGAAATGAAAGAATAGGCAGGATAAATGAGTGGCTTGAGAGATGGTGCAGGAGGGAGGGGTTCAGATTTTTGGGACATTGGGACTGGTTCTGGGGGAGGTGCGACTATTACAAATCGGATGGTCTACACCTGGGCAGGACTGGAACCAATGTCCTAGGGGCTGCTTTTGCTAACGCTGTTGGAGAGGGTTTAAACTAATGTGGCAGGGGGATGGGAACCAAATGAGGAGGTTAGTGGACAGTAAGGAAGTAGTAACTAAAGCCTATAAGGAACTAGATAATGAAGTCCGTGTGACTAAGGGGAAGAGTAGGCAGAGAGCAGATGATGAACGCAGAGGGACAGGTGGTCTGAGGTGCATTTGTTATAATGCGAGAAGTGTAGTAGGTAAGGCAGATGAACTTAGGGCTTGGATTAGTACCTGGGAGTATGATGTTATTGCTATTACTGAGACTTGGTTGAGGGAAGGGCAAGATTGGCAACTAAATATACCAGGTTATAGATGCTTCAGGTGGGATAGAGAAGAAGGTAAAAGGGGTGGAGGAGTTGCATTACTGGCCAAAGAGGATATCACAGCTGTGCTGAAGGAGGGCACTATGGAGGACTCAAGTAATATGGGCAGTGCTCAAAAATAGGAAGGGTGCGGTAACAATGTTGGGGCTGTACTACAGGCCTCCCAACAGCGAGCGTGAGATAGAGGTTCAAATATGTAGACAGATTATGGAAAGATGTAGGAGCAACAGGGTGGTGGTGACGGGAGATTTTAATTTTCCCAACATTGACTGGGATTCACTCAGTGTTAGGGGTTTAGATGGAGCAGAATTTGTAAGGAGTATCCAGGAGGGTTTTCTAGAGCAGTATGTAAATAGTCCAACTCAGGAAGGGGCTATACTGGACCTGGTATTGGGGAATGAGCCTCGCCAGGTGGGTGAAGTTTCAGTAGGGGATTACTTTGGGAATAGTGATCACAATTCCGTAAGTGGACAAAGACGAGAGTGGTCCTAAAGGAAGAATGCTGAATTGGGGGAAGACCAACTATAGCAAAATTCGGCAGGAGCTGGGAAATGTGGATTGGGAGCAGCTGTTTGAGGGTAAATCCACATTTGATATGTGGGAGGCTTTTAAAGAGAGATTGATTAGAGTGCAGGACAGACATGTCCCTGTGAAAATGAGGGATAGAAAGGGCAAGATTAGGGAACCATGGATGACAGGTGAAAGTGTGAGACTAGCTAGCAAAGAGGAAAAAGGAAGCATACATAAGGTCTAGGCGACTGAAAACAGACGAACCTTTGGAAGAATATCGGGAAAGTAGGACCAACCTGAAACGAGGATTTAAGAGGGCTAAAAGGGGTCATGAAATATCTTTAGCAAACAGGGTTAAGGAAAATCCCAAAGCCTTTTATTCATACATAAGGAGCAAGAGGGTAACTAGAGAAAGGGTTGGCCCACTCAAGGACAAAGGAGGGAAGTTATGCGAGGAGTCAGAGAAAATGAGTGAGATTCTTAATGAGTACTTTGCGTCGGTATTCACTGAGGAAAGGGACATGACGGATGTTGAGGTTAGGGATAGATGTTTGACTACTCTAGGTCAAGTCGGCATAAGGAGGGGGGAAGTGTTGGGTATTCTAAAAGGCATTCGGGTGGACAAGTCCCCAGGTCCAGATAGGATCTATCCCAGGTTTCTGAGGGAAGCGAGAAAGGAAATAGCTGGGGCCTTAACAGATATCTTTGCAGCACCCTTGAGCACGGGTGAGGTCCCGGAGGACTGGAGAATTGCTAATGTTGTCCCCTTGTTTAAGAAGGGTAGCAAGGATAATCCAGGCAATTATAGACCGGTGAGCCTGACGTCAGTGGTGGGGAAGCTGCTGGAGAAGATACTGAGGGATAAGATCTATTTACATTTGGAAGAAAATGGGCTTATTAGTGATAGGCAGCCTGGTTTTGTGCAGGGAATGTCATGTCTTACCAACTTGATAGAATTCTTTGAAGAAGTGACAAAGTTGATAGATGAGGGAAGGGCTGTAGATGTCATATACATGGACTTCAGTAAGGCGTTTGATAAGGTTCCCCATGGTAGGCTGATGGAGAAAGTGAAGTCGCATGGGGTCCAGGGTGTACTAGCTAGATGGATAGAGAACTGGCTGGGCAACAGGAGACAGAGAGTTGTAGTGGAAGGGAGTTTCTCAAAATGGAGAATTGTGACCAGTGGTGTTCCACAGGGATCCATGTTGTTTATGATATACATAAATGATCTGGAGGAACGTATAGATGGTCTGATTAGCAAGTTTGCACATGACACTAAGATTGGTGGAGTAGCAGATAGTGAAGGGGACTGTCGGAGAATGCAGCAGAGTATAGACAGATTGGAGAGTTAGGTGGAGAAATGGCAGATGGATTTCAATCCAGGCAAATGCGAGGTGATGCATTTTGGAAGATCCAATTCAAGAGCAAACTATGTGGTAAATGGAAAAGCCCTGGGGAAAACTGATGCACAGAGAGATCTGGGTGTTCGGGTCCATTGTACCCTGAAGGTCGCTATGCAGGTCGATAGAATGCTTTCATTCATCGGACCGGGTATTGAGTACAAGAGTTGGCAGGTCATGTTACAGTTGTATAGGACTTTGGTTCGACCACATTTGGAATACTGCGTACAGTTCTGGTTGCCACATTACCAAAAGGTTGTGGATGCTTTGGAGAGGGTGCAGAGGAGGTTCACCAGGATGTTGCCTGGTATGGAGGGCGCTAGCTATGAAGAGAGGTTGAGTAGATTAGGATTATTTACATTAGAAAGACGGAGGTTGAGGGGGGACCTGATTGAGATCTACAAAATCATGAGAGGTATAGACAGGGTGGATAGCAAGAAGCTTTTTCCCAGAGTGGGGGACTCAATTACTAGGGGTCACGATTTCAAGGTGAGAGGGGAAAAGTTTAAGGAAGATATGCGTGGAAAGTTCTTTACGCAGAGGGTGTTGGATGCCTGGAACGTGTTGCCAGCCGAGGTGGTAGAGGTGGGCACGATAGCATCATTTAAGATGTATCTAGACAGATGCATGAATGGGCAGGGAGCAGAGGGATACAGATCCTTGGAAAATAGGCGACAGGTTTAGATAGAGGATCTGGATCAGCGCAGGCTTGGAGGGCGAAAGGGCCTGTTCCTGTGCTGTAATTTTCTTGGTTCTTTGACCTTTGCTGTCTCATACACATCACAGGTATAATTTGGCAGCAGGGTCACACCAACTCAGAGTTCCATGAATGTGCTAATTCTGCCTATTACTACACTAATACTATCCGCACTGGCTCAGCCATATTTACTCGGTCTTCGAAGAGTATATTACTTTGCAACAAAAACAAGTATAAATGAGATGTAAGAGCGTAAGTAGAGGAGAACGAGGAACAGGATTAAGCAATTCAGCCTCTCAAACCTGTTCTGCCATTTGGTACATCTCAGTCTCAATTCCAGTTCCTTGTTACTCTATAATCCATTACTAAGTAACAATCTGGCTGTTTCCTCCTTAAATTTACTCAATAGCTCAGCATCCCTCACACTCCAGGGTGGTGAATTGCACAGAATCATAACCCTTTGAGAGAAGTAATTTCCCCTCATCTCAATTTATATCTTACGGTTAAAAAAAGCCTCTTGTTCTAGACTGTTTCCCCGTGGGATGCATACACTCTATGTCTTCTTCGTCAATCTTCTTTAACATCTTATTTACCTCAATTAGAAGTCACACGTAGGCCAGGCCAGGTATGGATAGTCAACTTCCTTCCCTGAAGGACATCAGTGAAACAGATAGATTTTTAGGTCAATCTGGCAGTTTTGAGACCATTGTTACTGAGCTGGGCTTTTCATTTCATTTTAACAGTTGAAATTTGAATCTCCCCACAATACAGAGTAACTTTAACCTGTGTCCTGTGTCCTTGCAGCATTAGTCCAGCCCCAGATTACTGTCCAGCAATATGACCACTGTGACTGTACTCCTGTTGTTGCACCTGATTCTTTCTGATCCTTGCAGACTGGAGGGTAATGGAATTTCAGATACCTACACAATGGAACTCACTGTGACTCCCATTACAAACATGTCACTGATGAAGGTGAACCTGTCCAATAATTCACTCACAGATCAGTCTGTAAATGCTCTTCAGACCCTGATTCAGAGACACACTTCCCTCCAGGAGATCAGGTAAGTGTACCTGTGTTTAGGGCTGTATCCGTATTTAATAAAATCCTACATTCCTTTACTCTGAGCTAACTGATAGGTAATTGTTGCAATTTGTTTCTCAGCACAGTAATAAACATAAAAAATCTGTGGATGCTGGCAATCTGAAACAAAAAGAAAGTAAATGCTGGAGAAACCCAGCAGGTCTGGCGGCATCTGTAGAGAGAAAACAGAGTTAGCGTTCTGAGTCCAGTGCCCCCACGTTAGAACAGAAGAAGACTGGGAAAAGGGTAGTATTTGTACCAATGATGGTGAGGGGTGGGTGGGGGGATTGAATGGGGACAGTACGTGGATTCAGAGCCCAGAGAGAGATGGAGAAGAGGGATAGGCAAACAAAAAGACAGTTGCTGATAAGCCAAGAGAATGATAAATGCTGGGAGGATGATGATGAGACGTGTGAATAGTTGAAAATGAATTAGTTGTGCTGGGAGCAACCCATCCAACAGCGGACCAAGGAATGTTAGGGAAGTTAACGGACAAGCAGGAGGGTGATCATGTTCTGAATTTGTTAAAGTCAACATTGAGTCTTGGGGGCTGTACGATACCTTGCTTGCGTTGAGTCTATCTGGAGCACAGCAGTGGGTCTGAGACAGAAATGTCGGATATGGTGGTGTGTTGAAGTGGCAGGCAAATGAAAGCTTGGAGTCCTTTATACAGACCAAGCATAGGTGTTCAGGTCAGCAGTCACCAGTCTACATTTCATCTTCCCTGTGGTCTCCTGTGCTGCACGAACAATACCTCATCTTCTGCCGAGGCACCTTTCGGCCCCAGGACTCAAAAGTTGAGTTTATCAATTTGAGACAAGATTACCCTCTCTCCACGCTCCTAGATCCTGCTTTGTACAGGTTGCTGTCTGCACACCTGACCCATTTTCCACTCTTCACACTTCTCGTTAGCACCATACCTAATGCTGATTGCACTAATAGTTTATCATCAGCAATCTCTTTGTTTGCCTTTCTTCGCACTGTCAGTGGGCTCCATCCCCATGTAGTCTATTCATTGCCAACCCACCCAGCCCACAATCAGCATAAATACCAGCCTTTCCCAGCTATGTTCAGTTCTGACAAAAGATCACAGGACTCAAAATGTTAACTCCCTTTCTCTCTCCACAGATGCTCCCAGAGATTCTCTCACACTTTGGGTGCTAGAAATCTGAAATGAAAACACTGTATTTTGCTTTCATGACAGTAATTATCGAATTGTTCTGTGAGGGATCTTGCTCTGCTCTGAGGAGATTCACTAGGATTTAATTCTGCATTGATCTTATCACAATGGCTTTCGTTGAAAGAGGAGTTTTGGTCAGGACACTGTGGAAAATCCCTGCTTGTCGTTGAATAGAGCAATATGCCCTTCTAAGTAATTCAGAGGCCACAACATTGGGTTCAAATCCTAGCTGATGAAATGTGAATACAATTGAATAAAGCCCAGTGCAGCATTACCTCAGGCCTGGACTGTGTCTCCACCGAGTTCCTGTGGTCAGCTCCCGCAGTGAGGCTCCACCGAAGACATTTAAAAAGAATAGCAATAGAAAAGACTTGAGGGATAATATGTCTCTCAGATCCAAATAGACAAATACAGTTGGTCACTGTGCCATTTATGCCTGGCCTTTTTGTTTCATTCATGCCTGAGATGTTGGTATCGCTGGCTAAGCCAGCATTGATTGTCCATCTTAATTTCTCTTTGAGAACATGGAGGTCTGCTGCCTTCCTGAAGTGCTGTGGTCTGTGGAGTGTAAGGACACCTCACAATACTGTTCCAGGATTTTGATACAGTGACACTGAAGGAATGGTAAGATAATCCCATGCCACGATGGTATGTGGCTTAGAGGGTAACTTAAAGGTGTTTGTATTCCGATGAATCTGCTGCCCTTGTCCTTCTAGATGGCTTGGTGTTGGGTTTAGAAGGTACCACCTAAGGAGCCTTGGTGAAAAACTGTTCATGCCTTCGAGTAAACTTTCCCCTTCCGCAGTCTGTTTTCAGGTCAGAAATCCTTACTGAGGAATTATGTGTCCTCAGCCCGTGATTTATGGTTTGTTAATGAAGGGAAGTATTCTGCTATATAAAGCACTTGGGACAAATTGGATCAAAGGTTATGGGGAGAAAGCAGGATCAGGTATTGAGTTGGACAATCAGGCATGATCGTGATGAATGGCGGAGCAGATTCGAAAGGCCGTATGGCCTTCTCTTGTTCCTATCTTCTATGTTTCTATGTATGAATATCTCCTGTTGGGATGTTTAATCTGTGTTGGATATGAATCACTGTTTCAGGGTGCAGAGGAATAAGTTCACTTCCAATGGAGCCAGCTGTCTTCAGTCACTGTGTAATCACAGACCCAGACTCTGTGTGGAAGTGTACACATCGATAACGAGCAAAGGATTTGGGACAATCTGATGACAGACTGACGTGGTCATGAAGAAAGACCCAAGACGCCAAACTGATGTCTACTTTGTAATTGTGTATTATTTGTACTTCTCTGTTTTAGAAATTTCTACCAAATAAAACATTTTAGACTTATGATTTAGGACATCTACTACAGTCATGGAGTCATACAGCACGGAAACAGACCCTTCAGTCCATCTAGTCCATGCTCATCATAGTCCCAAACTAAACTAGTCCCACATGCCTGCTCCTAGCCCGTATTCCTCCAAACCTTTCCTATTCATGTACCTAACCAAATGTCTTTTAAACATCATAACTGTGCCCACATCCACCACGTCCTCAGGACGCTTATTCCACACGTGAACCATTCTGTGTAAAAAAACAAAATTGCCTCTCGTCTTTTTCAAATCTCTCTCCTCTCATCTTAAAGGTGTGCCCCCTAGTCTTGAAATCCCTCATCCGAGGGAAAAGACACCTAACCATTAACCCTATCTATGCCCCTCGTGATTTTATAAACTTCTATAAGATCACTTCTCAACCTCCTGCATTCTAGTGAAAGAAGTCCCAGCCTATCCAACCTAAACTTTATAACTCAAACTACTTGTATTCTTGTATACTATCTCCTTTGCATGTGAGAGGAAAACCACTCACGGTAACTATGAGAAGGCTGCTTCTGAATACAGACGGTTTTGTGCTTGGATTTCCCAGCAGTTAGACTGAAAAGGTTTGACTAATCATTTCATTGCAGCTAAGGAGCAGAGGGCTAAGGGGCTGGGGAGAGGAAACTGATAACTACTATCTTATTGATGTGGTTGAGAAACATCGGAGTTTGGAGAAACCCCAAGCTCTGGATTTTCCATCAGCTAAAGTCAGTCCTTGATTATTCAAAGCGAAAAGCAAACTGCTGTTGTTCACTGTTTTCTCTCACTTCACAATATAAACAAACTTCCTTTAACACTCCTGTGATCGAATTAATACATCTTCAAATCCTTTCAATGCAACAAATGTTGTTCCATTGGAACCAGCACCAGGTCAAGAGTAAGGAACTCATCAGGGGTTCAGATCAACAGGCCTGAAATCCCACAGAATGATGGTTAGCTGACGCTAAGCATCTGCGTTCATGACCCAAGGCCAAAAGACTTAGCGATTCAGAGATGGTGAAGACACTTGAGCTCATAATTCAATACTGAGAGCCAATATTGAGGGACTGCTGCAAGGTGCAAGGCTCAGTGCTGAGGATGTGTTGCACAGTCAGTGGGTCATTACTGAGGGAGTTCTGCACTGTCGGAGGGTCAGTGCTGAGGGAGCGCCGCACTGTTGGAGGGTCAG